ACATTCAGCACAAAATGTAATTAATTCGTTCTATATCCAATACGTTAACGGCATTACACTAAAGAAAAAACAGAGGAATCTTTTTATAATACAAAATAAATTGAGTGATTAAATTTCAAATTTTAAAACGCCTTGCCCTTCTCTTCATTGAGCAAATTGCTCTAAATAAAGTGTGAATTAGTATCGATCTGTTTGACTCTAAACGTTGAATTGGTTGGGAGCAAACGGACTTTGCCCTTAGGTGAGCAGCTCATTTTGTTTCGTTGTAATGGAATTGATAAATATAAGTCAATGTGTAAAATGTATAATTAATAATATAATAAGAACGCACAAACTCAACATAGCTCCGCACTAGGGAAACCCTGTGTTGCGGGTGCCATGGTTATGTATGTATGTAGGTACATAGACAACCACGAATTACACCCAAACTCACGAGAGAAATTAATGTAGGCCATATAAATATTTCTCCCGGCCCGGGAACCGAACCTGGTACCTCTGCGTGGCAGTCCGGCCACCGTAACCGTTATAGTAACCGTTCGGCCACGGAGGCAGTATCTCATAACAAAGTGAATACAGATATAATATATAAATATAGATAAATACAATATAAATATAGATATAATACTAAGTATTATTATATCGCACACGGAGAATGATAACGTCACTAAGCAAAAAACTTAATATTTTTTTTATAACGCCATCTTGGTTTGAGAATACGGACTTTGTAATGCAAAAACATCCATATACGTTGTTTGCCTACAACTCGCTAGGTGACGTAATGACGTTTTTATTCTATACAAAGGGATCGGAGCATAGGAGACAGTGCGATACCCAAATTTTTTTGTGACCGAGATCGCTGAGTTGTCAAACAATTTACTAGTAACTTTGTGAAAGACATCGTCAATTTTTGGACGTCGTTTAGCATTAAGACTTATCTAGTACAGGATTGCCGACTCAGATAACGCACACAACGCACACACTCAACATAGCCCCACACTAGGAAAAACCCTGTGTTGCGGGTGCCATGGACACACACATAGACAACCACAAATTTCACCCAAACTCACGAGAGAAATAAATGTAGGCCATACAAATATATCTCCTGGCCCGGGAATCGAACCCGGGTACTCTGCGTGGCTGTCCGGCGTGGTAACCGTTCGGCCACCGAGGCAGTTCTCACCGGGGTATATGGAAAACATTCACTAAAGTTAATCCTTTAATTTCGAAATTTAAAATTACTTTTCATGACTTAAGTTGTATTGATGAGTATTTATAGACGATATTGCATAATAAGAAATGTTATTTTACAAGAAAAGATTAAGAGGAATTTTATTGTGGTAGGTGAAAATTTGCATAATACTTCTAAAACTATGTAGGTTCCCTTTCGTTGTAGCTGAAAACTGTATTCAAAAATCTTTGTTGAGTAAGAAATTGAAGATATCACAATTTGCAGAACTTCAATTGCTCATTACTCAAAATCGAATATTTTGCATTGTGTCACTTTCATTCTCAGTGTGCGATATATTCTAACATTATAAAGCAAAGCACTTTTACAGATTTGTAAGAGAGGGTCTATGGCTATGCAGCTACGAGAACCTATCCCACGAAAGCAGGTAACGTAGGCTTTAGATATTTCGGCAGACTAACAAGTCCCAGGAGAACCCACAAGTGGAAGATCACCCGGAAGCAAGGCAGACAGTGCAGCTGAAGATCTAGGCTCATTCTATCGCCTTCAGTACAAAATGCTATGCCCGATGTCTACGCTTCGTGTGAACACATTGTTAGCGCGATTTATTTTGTCTTCAACGCCATCTAGCGATAACGCGAGTTCACTAAATTTTGTTTTAGGTTATGGTGTTACAAAGAAGATAAAACTAAACTCACTCTCCTTACTACTTGCCATATTTGATATTTTTACCTTAACTAAGTAAGTCGTACGATCTTACAAAATTTTCAATAACATTCTTTACTAATCACGGTGTTGAAACTTTTTTATATTATGAATACAACTTCATTGATAGAAACTACTTGAATCGAGATATAGGGGGCCTACTATGAGCTCTATAGCAATCCTGATTAAGTTCATAAGTTAGATTGCCTGTTCAATTCGTACAGTCCACAGCACATCAAGCTTGACACTTTATACTTTGGACCGTTCTTATCGTAAGCGGCATAGAGTTGGATTTAAGTCGTAAGTGTAAAACTTGACGTGCTCTTGACCCTGTACTATGGCATCATAACAAGGCAGTTTCCAAGCAGTTCACGTTTCAAAAGCCATTCGCTTTCTTAATTTTTTGTTATTTTTTTAAATTTTATTGGCTTGATGTAGCTCGTAAAATGCCTTTTTTGAACTTTTTTCTAACTGTAAAGCGTTGCGCCAAATTTGAGTTTAACGCAATATAGAATAAAAATATAAGATGCGTTCCAATTCTGGTATGGAATTCCAAACTCACTATAATAATTTCATTGATAATAGTTACAAGATATAGCGTGTAATTTAGTCTTACGACAAGTTGTAAAGTATGGTGTTTAAGTTGCTATTACAAAATAACGTATTTGTATAACCAAAAATTAAATGATTTTAAAACTCATAATGTTTCTCTTTTCATACACTATCGGCTAACGCTTACGCTCCCAGTTTAATACAGCTATCCTTTTTTGCACGTGATTTATTGTATAGTTCCATACGACTCTTTAGGTGTCAACGTAGCATGTTAAAGATAATATTTAATTAATGTTTAAAAAGTAAAACCCATCGTCTTGCCGCGTAATCGCTTTTCAACTTTGTATAGGTCATGGTCATGATACAAATTTAATTAATTCAGTTTTACTACGTCAGCGACAGCGGCAGCGGCAGCGGCAGCGGCAGCGGCAGCGGCAGCGGCAGCGACAGCGACAACGACAACCATAATAACAATAATAACAATAGTGACAATAATGACAACAATGACAATAATAACAATAACAACAAAGGCGCCCAAAACAAGTACATTTAAATACCGAGTTCTTAGGTTTTCGCGATTGTTACACATGGGAAATGAAACTATTTTTCCGGATTTAAATCGCGTATATTTGTTTTTTCAAACAAACCGACGTTTCCGGCCCTTTACAGGTCCCATGGTCACGGTTGACAAATGTTGTTCGTTACAAACATATTACCAAATATATATATAATACAGATACCTACTTTAACATTAATAACAACGCGTTGATTGTTTACAAAGACGATTAAATTGTTAACTGATCATGTTAACTGACCAAAACGCCATCTGTGACTCAACCACAACTAGAGCAATAAATGAAAAGTAAATTCGTCGATCATTTAATGTATTTATGTCCCTAAATTTATATAAAACTAACACGAGCTGATATTTGACTCGTTCGTGTTGCGTAATTTAAAATAAAGAGTAGATGTTATATAATTGTATAGGACCGGGTAAGCGTTTGTTTTTCAGTAATAATAATAATAATAATAATAATAACGCACACACTCAACATAGCCCCGCACTAGGGAAACCCTGTGTCGCGGGTGCCATGGACACACATAGACAACCACAAATTACACCCAAACTCACGAGAGAAATAAATGTAGGCCATACAAATATTTCTCCCGGCCCGGGAATCGAACCTGGGACCTCTGCGTGGCAGTCCGGCATGGTAACCGTTCGGCCACAGAGGCAGTTATATTAGTAGGTCAATATCTTCAAATATGAAAGGTAAAATGTCAGTGACGTGACTTATCTAATTACACATGTCTGGCTCTAGTAATGAGATTTACTAGGCAATAAATACAATTACAATTAGCCTGATGTATCCCACTACTGGGCAAAGGCCTACTCCTGATCCCTCCACGCATCCCGATTTGAGGTTTGCCGCAATCATATATATCGTCTGTAGGACCACAACAATAAATGTGAAAGGTAAAATGTCAGTGGCGTGACGTATTTAATCATATAACATCTCGCTCACAGACAGACTCTAATTTTACTAGGCAATAAATAGCAACGGAACTGTTTTTAAATTTATTAAATTTATCATTTATTTATTTTGAAGTAAAAAATCGAGAATAGCGACACACAACAATAATAATAAATGTGAAAGTCAAAAGTCAAATTGGTTGCGTGACGTATCTAATTATAATAATGACTGTCTCTACTAATGACTTCCACTTGGGAATTGTAACAAAATTGTTTTACAATATAGAATTGAAAACAACCTGATGCGTCAAAAACAGATTATTAATGACATTTAGTTAAATTTGCTCTCTGATAGAAACTTGCATAAAAACCATGTTTCTGCATGTAATGGTCATAGAGAAACACACCTTTCGAAAAAAATACAGTTATATTTATAATACATTAACGAATCGGTGATTCTATCCTTAACAACTATTATATTTTACGTTTTTAACCATCTTCCATCAATTTAACGTAAGGTATAAACGAAAAAACTTAATGTAATTTTTTTGTATGTGTTTTTTTATTGGAATCCAACTACACAGGAAAATCCAACAACATCATAATTGGGTCTTCTGAATTATTATTAACTACTACAGCTTTTATGTATAATATTACATCGAGAACCATCTAGAAAAAATACATTTAGTGGCAGTAGAGCTTCTTGTGAAAGGGTTCGTCCAGGTTAGTAATGCCACCTTACCTATTTCTGCCGCCAAGCAGTAATGTCAGTATAACTGTGTTCCGGTTTTGAAGAGTAAGGGTGCTGGTGAAATTACAGACACATGGAACTTATCAACTTGTGTCTCTGGGTAACGGGCGCAGTGGCAGTGCCCTTCAGATCTTCGCGATTTAAAGCTCTGAGTGGCACTGTAACTGTTATGGACAGGCGTGTAGCTTACCATCAGGCTCACGACTTGTTCGTCCCGTCACTAAATATTATAAAAAAAAAAACAAGCTATAGCAAAAAACGTATATAGACGTCAAGTCATTAATTGATATCAAGACTGACGCACGTTGTTCCGAAAGCCACAATTTGCGCCGGCGCAGTCGACTGACAGTCACGGCCAATCAGCAAAGCGCGGCGGTTGTTGTTGTTAATTTAATCAATTTCTCTTATTATTGTTCAATTATTTCGAAAATATATTGAACATAGTTTAGAACAAGTGTTGTGGTAAAATTGGATCCTAAAAGAAATTGTTAAATTACAAGTAAGTTTTCGTTTTATCTACGAGAGGTCTTTGAACTTTAGCTGTTGTTTCAATTGCTCGAGATTATTTTTATGAAATTTATCATGTTTATTAGATACATATGACTAGGTAAGTAGGTAGTATTATATATGCAGTGACTTCTGTATTTCAACATTGCTCACTGTATAAATGACATAAGGATCAATTTACAATGGAAAATATTGACTATTGATAGGTATGCTTATATCAGCACGTGATAATCTGTATACAAAAAGAAATTACTTATAACAATTAAGTTAAAACAAAAATAATTTAATGACTAATCAATAAAAACGCTAATCTACAGCCGATAAACAATGATGATCGTTGAAATTGCCCACGCGAACGTGACAAATATCTAAATTCATATTACCTTTAAAGTAGTCCGAAAATCAGAATCTACTTATATAACAATAGATAAATTGCACGTAGGTAAGCAAAAGGATTTTCAATATACAAAATTTTGAAAAAATTTGTTATATGTACTAAACGGTTCCTAAAGTCTAACGTCTTTGATCAGCAAACAAAATTCAACATGTAAACATAAATAAATATCTCTGGAGTTACATGACATTGCAAGTTTTGAAAGTAAAACAAGAGTGCGAAACACGTTTTTTAACTTCAAACTGCCGTATCTCGAAAGTGACGATGTGCATTGGCTCCTTTTTGTTTCACTACGTCCAATTTTGCTTTTTGTTTATTTTGTCCCGTTCTATGTTGTTTTTTGTTTTTTTTTGTTTTGTTTATCAATTCTTTTCATTTTTTTAGTGTTATCAATATCTTTTTTTTATCTATGTGTTGTGGCGTTACAATACATGTCTATTCTATTCACTAGTTACTATAAAAAAGGTTAACTGACTTGTCGAGTAATGCAAGTAGACACATACATTACCACAGTTTTATATATGACCAGCAACATAACAACCGTGATTGGTGGAGCTACGGTTGCTCTTTTACTACTTTTGTAATTACATAATCAGAGCGTGACGGTGACACCAGCAAGAAAAAGTGGTAAATAGTTTCACATATTAACTTAGATACCATAAGTTTGAGTGTTCAAGGTTTGATTACGACTTCTCTTGCACGGCTGTTATCATATCACTTGCGATTTGATCGAGGATTAACGAGGTCTTCATCTATAATCTAACATTTAACTAACCTCTCTGAAAATGCGAAAAAAGAAACTGTACTGACTAAAGTCTTTTCCTTAAAATGACATGCAAGACAACCTAACTTAATTATATCTACTTAAGGTCTTCGTCGATTCCTCTTATAATAACAATAACAAATCTTTGTTGCGTTACCTGTACGATCTTGATCACACGCGAAAGAGTGACTGTATAAATAGCCCCCTTTACACAGTCACTCTTTCGCGCGTGATCAAGGCGTACAGGATTGCGCGCTGGAAAGCCTGACCGTGCAATTGTGAAGTTTTTTTTAAACTAACGTCCTTTCACGCGTGATTACTTGTGTTCGTTTTTGTTACAACGGAAAGAGCGTCCGTGTAAAGGCTAATATTGCAGGATAGACCGCGTGAACCTGGCGCGTGTTGGAGACTGTTGAACGCAATCGCATGGTCTTTCCCTTTTCCTTCCAACATCTTTACACGCGCGCTCAATAGCACTCGATTGCTGTATCACGCCCGATAGAGTATCAGTGTTAAAGCCTGATATTATGAGGCACTCACTTCTAGCCGCGATAGTCTAGAAGACCGTTGCCGCTACCATGTATTCTGTTCAATAAAGACGCTAACTTCTTCCGTATATTTGTTTTTACTAACAAACCAACGTTATTGGCTCACTACAGATCCCATGGTCACAACTCCCTATCAGTGTCAGGAATCTGAAATATTGGTTTGCTTGAAAAAAGAAATATATACGATTTAGATCCGAAAAATCAGTGTCATTTCCAATACGTAGTAATTACGACAACCCAAGAACTGGACAATTCTTTTTAATATTTGTTATTTTAAAGTCGTTTGAATTTATACTTATAGTTGTTAGTTTTAGTGTTAGTTTTCGCAGAAAAAGCATGAAAGTTAGCTATAGAATGAGACCTTTGCGCAGTATGAGCGAAGTTACCGAAGAGTGTTGTGGTATGAAAGATAGACCTCTAATAAAAAGAAAATCTGTAAATAAGGACACAATTAGGACCGTCTGTATAAACTTCACCAATTTCGTCATCACCCATTTTAGGCACCCCACATTACGTCATAGTCCGCCACCCTGGCGAGTTGATGATTTCAGGCGTTATTCAAGGGTTATGAACCTTCCTCGACGAACAAATGTATGGTGAAATTACAGGCACATGGTACGTGGGGCGCACTATAAGTTTCCGGAATGAATAAGAAGAAAATACTATAAACGGTCAGAAATGGATTTATTGTTTCTCAAAATATTCTCCGTTAGCGTTAATGCACTTTTTCATACGAATGAACCAACTTTGAAAACATTTATGCCACTCCTCTGTGACAATCTCTGAAACATATTTTTGATATTCTTCGACAACCTCTTCACGTGATGAAAATCGTTGACCGCGTAACTGGTTCTTAATTTTTGGAAATAAATAAAAGTCACAAGGTGCCAGGTCGGGACTATACGCGGGAGGGCTCATAAGGTCAACGTTGTTCACCTTCAAAAATTAATTTGTCTCTCTGGCCTTGTGAGAACTGGCATTATCGCAGCGTTTACGGTTATGTTTAAAGAGTATGTCAATAACTTCCGGCAAACAAATAGTCGTGTACCAATAACTGTTCATGGTACAACGATTCACCAAAGCAACAGTAGCCACGTGTCCAAAAAAGTGTAAAAAAAAGAAGCAATCAGCCGCTTAGAGGCACTTTGCACGCGCACCACTTTGGTTGGTTTCGGCTCATCTCCAAAGACCCATACGTTCGATTGCTGTTTTTTTTTTTTTGAGATCGTAACTATAAATCCATGTTTCGTCACCTGTTACTATTTCCCACACCAAATTTGACGCCCCTTCGTTGAATCTGATGAGCATGGCATTGCACCAAGTGACGCGATCCGTTTTTTAAACCTCAGTCAAATTGTGTGGGATCTACCGAGAGCACAGCTTTTTTACACCCAAATGTTTGTGTAATATTGATTGTATTTGACTCATGCCTATGCCTAATGATGCCCGAATCTGATGGTATGTCACATGCCTGTTTGTTTCGATCACACGGCGCATAGCATCGATGTTGTTGTTGTTCACAGCAGTGGACGGGCGACCATCATGAAATTCGTCACTGAAAGTCACACGACCGCGTTTGAATTCTGCAAAATAGCTATAAATAGTCGTCTTGCATGGTGCTTCATCGCCAAAAGCAGTTTGAAGCCGAGCGAAGCTCCCCGCTGAGCTGTTAGATTACACTTGAAGTCATAGAAGATCATACTACGAAAATTTTCATGAGCTAAATCCATGGTGATGTAGACAATCAATTTCTAAAATGACGCCACAATGTAAAAACAAGTGACAGATGAAACAAACTGTATTCTACAGCCAAAGAGTTCCATTTTCAAATGTTGTAATTACTTTTTAAATATTGTTTATGTAAGTGGCCAGTTCCGGAAACTTATAGTGCGCCCTATGTACTTGTCAACTTATGTCTCAGGGTGATGGGCGCAGTGGCACTGCCCCTCAGATCCTTGGATTTTAAGCTCTGAGTGGCACTGCAACTGTTATGTACAGGCGTGTTACTTACCATCAGGCGAACGACTTGTTCGGCCCGTCACTTGATATTATAAAAAAAAAATTGTCACAAACCTAGGGTCGTATTCTAGAACTCAACTCAATGCTCAAGTCAGGATTGCAATTGAAACACAAGCACTGGAAATACGACCCTAATGGCAGGGACTTGAGTATGATTTCGAGTGCTTTAAACCATACTCAAATCCTGACTTGACCATTGAGTAGAGTTCTAGAATACGACCCCTAGTTACTGAGAAACTTAGATAATTCATACTTAAAATATAAAAGAAGCACACTAACAATCAGCAAACAATAATAATGAAGGTAGACAAAAAATTCAAGCGAACACAGATATGAAGGTGTTATAATTCATAGAAATATATCAAGCGTGTGTGTGGCATTTAGGTCAGCAAAACTTTAAAGCTGATCACACACGGTGCACAGCGCTGCAGTTGTAGTTGCCCTTGTATTTGTATTCATTAAAATTTTCGATTTTAGTTTGTCACGCCGTATGGGCTGCTGTCCATGCACCGCGGTGTCATGTTAATCAACCTAATACAGCTCCCGGACACGTGACTAGCATTTGTTTATTGCCAAACAAAAGACATTAATTGCATCACTTTAAACAATTTTTCACAATGTCGCAATGCAGCAATGCAGCAATAAAAAAACCAACAAAGAGCAAAAAAAATCTCGTAATTGCGGGCAAGGAATGAGAAGTTCCAGATAAAGTGGAGTCCAAAAACCCACCAAAACTTTCAAAGGTTTTAAAAAGCAGACGACGACGAGCTATCGGCTTTTCACGAGTTTCAAAGGTCAGAGGTTTTTCTGAGTTGAAGATTATAAGATTATAACTTTTATTCCGCTTTTTAAAATTTGCACACTTTTTCAACATTTCTAATAATGAAACTTCTGATACATGTTTGTGCGGATAGAATTTTTAAAGCTGTTAAACAAAAGCTTTTTGTTTAGGTACTTAGGAATGCCATGTAAAATGTTTTAGATTTTTTAAATAGTTTGACGACCTCTGTGATTGCTTACGTACCTACAGGAGACTAGGTAGTTGGGTGTAATTGTCAGGAACATTAATACATTTGAAATAACCCCAAACTGTTACTCACAAGTCATAACAAAATATAGCAGTTTATTTCATACGTTTAATAACGCAATCTTACAATTGCTACAATTATATATTAAATTTTCTTTAAGATTAAAACAAAAATACAACGAAAATTAAAATTCCGGACATTTAAATTATACTTAGAAAAGAAGTTTGCACACAGGATTTT